AAAGGAGGAGTTTCACTACCTTCTGTACAGGATGAGTTCCTGGCATGGGCAGCAGCCACACGAGAACCAGCACTAACACACCCAGAGTGCGGAGCTTGTCCCTGGAAATCCTGCCTTGCCGTGCATTTCCTCAACACTGAGAACCATTCAGGAGCATCAGCACAAATGTGCTGGCATTTTCATCTCAAGACTGCTTCCACTTTTTAGTTGCTGACGTTTTACCAACATATGTGAGGGTCACTGTCTTGGGATTGAGAGGGAAGGATGTTTCTTTTATAGGGAGTTACTGTCGTTTGTGGAAGCAAAGCCAGCCCAGATAATGAGTCAGAACAGGAGGTAGTTACTGTAAATATTCCAAGCATGGGCACATTAACAACCACCCACTAATCAGAGGCAATGGCACAGGCAGACAGAACTGCCGGCGGTGTCAGAGGCAGTTCTGAGTGGCTCAGGGCCTCAGCCAGCCCCGAGCAGCTATTGTGACCTGTGGGAAGGGTCACAGCCCCGACTGTGGCTGTCCCCTGGCTGAGGGCGATGCAGGCACCTGCTCAAAGTGAAACCTGAATCCCAGACAGGAGGCTCTGAGATTTCAGTGTGAACCAAGCAAAAGCTTTGTGGATAACCTCACTCTGGTGCCATTCAGTGTTCACAGCACAAACACACGTTCTGATGTAAGTCAGCAGCACCAGCTGACCACAACAACACCCAACCTGCTGCTGGCAAGCACCTGCCTGAACAGATCCTCAAGTTCATGCCCTCAGCTGCAGCTGCTGCTGAGGTTTGGTGGGGCTTCTGGTCTGAAATGAAAAGAAGTGGCACCCAAATTTCTGACAAAAAGACAAAGAAATGGCCTGGCTGTGAGCTGAGCTGGCCAAGCACCCTTGAGGCAGTTGGCACCGTGCTCCCTTCCCCCTTCTCACCAGGGCTGCACTTGCTGCTAATTTTGATTCCGTGGCCTCAGACCAAGACGTGGTCAGCTTACAGGCTGCCCCTCTTCAGTCCCTGAAGTAAGTTACTTTCTCATGAATCAGTACTATAGAAATATAACTGTTGAGATCAGCTTCTTTATTTTTGTCAGCTTTTCTCCAGACCTTTCAATCATAAGCTGCATTATCCTATATTCCCATAAAGCCAGGAAAAGCAGTAATAGACACCTCAAAATTCTGACTTCTATTTTTCCTGCCAAGTGATTTCTCTAAGTGCTTTGTTTTCTGCTGTCACTGAATTAGAATAGTACCTGTACTTCCAGAGTCTTCACTGTTACTGTCACTATTTCAATACACTCTTCTCAGATTAGAAGCTTTCAGCTTCAAAAATGCTCCTATTTTGCTTTCTGCAGAAGAAAATACACTCTGCATTTTCTCACTGCTTACGGCTGAGGTTATCAGACTTTTGGACAAAGCTATCCCAGTTCCTTGTGTGACAGGATGGTGACAGGAAAAGATCCCCTGCATCTGCTTTGATGGGAACGCCAATAATCCCCTTAGTAAAAAGGAACACAAATGCAGATTAATCCATTCCCCAGATTCAGTTTGAGACTCTGCTCCAGAGCTTGGCTTTGCTCAGAGGAGCCACACAGACTGCACAGCAGCCTGGAGAGCCTGGCTGCACCAGCAGAGCTCTCTGAGGCCAGGTCCGGAGCACAGGGCTGTCAGCACGCCCAGCTCCCTCTAAAATATGGAATTCAAACCAGGTGATGTCGGTACAGCCCCAAGGACCGATGGGGACACTCGATGCACTGTGCCCAAGTGCGAGGCAAACACTTCTGGGGAGTGTTCTGGGGAGTGGAGCGTGCCCTGCCCTGGCACAGCCGAGGTCTGGGCACAGCAGCTCCATGGCAGGACAGGAGCCTGCCTGGTGGGAACTGCTCTGGGAGAGCTGCTCCCAAAATCAGTGCCACTGCTGTGCTGGGAGCGCACCCAGAGCACCCCTGAGCACTGAGCTGCTCCCAAAGCAGTGCCCACTGCGGGATGCTGAGCTGTCCCTCTCCAGAACCTCAGTCTCCTGCCCCCTGGCACAGTGAGGAGAGGCAGGGACACCTGGCCCAGGAGGAGCCCAGCCCAGAGGGGACAGGCTGCTCTCTGGAAGCAGCTGCTGGCTGCCCAAACAGCCTCACCCCAGAGCAGCAGCAGTGCCCAGCTGCCCTGGGAAGCAGCTGGGAGGACAGCTGGGCTCACTGCACCCTGCACCTGCCCAACACCCACACACCTGAATGAACAGGGGGATGGAAATCAGGGCCATGATCTGCCCCAATCTCACAGGTACACACTCACAGCTAATGCAGCACCCTGCAGAAAGTAAAGGTGCACATCCCTGACTTCATTCTGTTAATCCATGAGCTTTGTTTAAGATTAGGAGAGAAAATTCTAAATGCCCACAGCCACTTTTAAAAGCAACCAGATATTGAGCAAAACACAGCCATCACTGGGTTTTCCAGGCAGGACTTACAAGTGGGACCAACACACTCTTAAGCAAGCAGTTACCTTCCTCTTTGGCTTCAGGAAAGACATAAAACCCCCACTATTTTAATTAAAAATAGATTTTTATACTTCTGTAACACCTGCAGAACTCCACTGACACCACCACAGACTTTACAAAAGCATAACTTAACTGCAAACAAGCACTGCAAAGCAGTTAAGTATTTGCTCTGGTTTCTGCTTATTCCCAGCAAAATCCATGGCCTTTCAAGGTTCTGTATAAATCAGTTTTTTCTAAAAAGAGTCACCCCAAACCTGATGGAAGAAAGTGTCTTTTAACAACGTACACAGCGCAGCTCCTACACTTGGGCTGAACACAGCCCTCCCCAAATTCTGTGGAGAACTACAGCAAGGTCTCACCTCATGCATGGCCCTGCAATGCCTACGACAGCTTCGGGAGTGAGAAAAGCTGGCACTGCTCTCACTGAGCAGCACTGCATGCTTGTGAGGCACACATACCCCTGGGACACCTGCATTTACAGCAGGGATTCAAACTGCACCACCCGGCCTTGCAGAGTGGGGTACACGAACATCCCCACAACAAGCTGTTTGTACATAAAACATGATCATGGGGTTCTTTGAAAGAGCTTAACTAACTCAAAAGCACAGAGCCTTCTCTCAGGACTCCAGTGCCACTCTACACCTGCAGGAAAACACAGGAAATGGTATCCCCACCCTTTCCAGGAAAATTACTGGTTTATTGTATTAAAAACCCATCCAAACAAAAAAAATCTTATTAAAAAAACCCCACCCATCACTGCCTGGGTTTACTATGGCTGGAGCCAAATTAAACATTCCCATTAAGGGTATTAACACTTGCAATCACCAAGAGAATTCAGGTGATTCAGAATAGCACAAAACACTTCCTATTCTCGTGTACAGCTCAGGAGGCTGAAGAGGACCACGCAGCCCATACAGGAGCTAGCAAATATTAACTCCTTGTCAGCATCCCGAGCCTCTCCGAGCTGCTCACAGGTGCTCAGCATGACTCACAAACCACCCCACAGCCGGCTCCTCCCGCCGCGCCAGCGCTGCCTCCTCGCTCGGTGGCAACACACAAAGTTTTGATGCGAGCCCAGGGAGCGTGGCAGCACCAACTGCTTTTCCTGGGAGCCTCAGAATGTTCACCTTCTGCTAGCCTGTCAGCACTGACATCACAGCCTCGCACGTCTCAGGCACCACTGACTCACTAACACACACAAATGCCTTTGTCCCACTGTCTGACATGTGCCAAAGCGACTTCTGACATCAGGTGTGTCATTAAAACCTGTAATCGTAGCACAAAATGAATATGTGAGCTTGATTTTTAAAATAAGCGTTCAGGCAAGCATAGCACAAGTATGGCAATTTCTTTATGTTTATACCACAGTTCTAAACCGTGCAAAATAATTCCTCAGAAAGGCAGGAATCTTTTGTTCTGCACTGCTTAATAAATTATTTAAAGCGCAATATAGCGAATAAGGCCACCATGAAAGAAAATCAAAACCAACTCAACTTCAAAGGATATAATGTAAAAGCAAAACATATTTATCTAAAAAAGTAAGGTTTTGCAATGCATCTAAGTAGTGAAGTTGATTGTGTTGCTGAGAAAAAAAAAGTCATGCAAACACTAAGGATTTGGACATGAGACAACATAGTAAGATGGGGAAAGACAGAGTTGGGGAAAAACTCACATAAAAACAATATTTTAAAAAGCTTTTCAAACTCTTAAACTTAAATTTTCAAAATCACGAAACGCCCCAGCTTTTTATCAGGAATAGAAAGGCTGTATTGTTTTGATTCGGCCTCTCTGGCTGTGAGAAAGTAAACGGCGGGGAAGTGTCCCACTCCGTTTTACAGAACTAGGGAAAAAGGAGCAGGTTTTGGTCCTCCGGGGAGGCCGGGCCCAAAACCCCTCCGGGTGTCCCCAGCCGGGACTCCGAGACCTCGCTCGGGTGTGCGGGGAGCCGCGGGGCCAGCGAGCCCCGCAGCGGGCATGGGCACGGGGACACCGCGGGCCGCGACCCCCGAGGGACCCCGGAGGGAGCCGGGCAGGGAACCGGGCAGGGAACCCCCACACCCCGGAGGGAACCGGGCAGGGAACCGGGCAGGGAACCCCCACACCCCGGCAGGGAACCCCCACACCCCGGCAGGGACCCCGGCAGGGATCCCCGCACCCGGCCATGCCCCGGCGCGGGCAGCTCGTCCCCTCACGCCCCAGCGCCGGGGCCCGGGGCTCAGCGGGCCGGGGGAACTCCCGTGCCCGGCCCCGGCCGGGTCTCCCCGTGCCCGTGCCCGGCCCCGGCGGTGCCCCGGCCCCGCGTCTCCATGGCGATGTCTCCCCTCCGCGCCCCGCCGGCCGCCGCAGCGCCG